TTTTTTTTTTTTTTTTTTTTTTTTTTTTTTTTTTTTTTTAATTTGTTGTTTAAATTAATATTTTTTTTTTTTTTTTTTTTTTTTTTATATATTTTTTTTTTTTTTTTATTTTTTTTTTTTTTTTTATATTTTTTTTTTTTTTTTTTTTTTATTTTTAATTTTTTATTATAATAAATTTTTTTTATTTTTTTATATTTTTTTATTTATTTTTTTTTTTTTTTTATTAATGAAATTTATTTTTTTTTTTTTTATAACTAATTTATATAGGTTCCTTATTATAAAGACCAAATTAATATATACATACATTAATACAAGATCAATAATACGGTCAGTGCTGTAACAAAAACTTTATTTAATTTAAACTTTAATTTATAGTTATTTATGTATGAAGAATACAGCAACGGACCAAGACATATTTCTAGAATGGTTCTCTGAATACCATCAGGGGCGACAGAGTTCTCTCCATAAAGTAAGACTGGAACCAAAATTCAGGGCAGCTCCACTGTCAGGACAGGATTAAAATTCTGTAGGCAATTCCGGTGGGAGCGAGTTTTGTCGTTGATTTATATTTAATTAGCCTAATAAGTCAACATCGCAACATGAAATATCATAACATGGAAACTATTAATTCCTTAAATGCAGCCTATTGATTTTGTCTATTGTGTCTATGCAGCATGTAAGGTAGTTATCTATGTCAGTGTAGCAACATCGATTCAGCAATTCTAACCATCCTATTTACATGCAATACATTATGTCAGAATTAGCATGTTAACATGCTAATGTTTAGCAGTTTACTTATCACCCAGCTGTAACTTCTTATGACACTCCTTTTAGCCGAGATGTTTGGAAATCTCCCTTTCATCTAATCATAAAGTTATACTTTGTATGAGGTACTTATTACTTAAAGTTGATGGTGCTCAGCATGCTCCCAGTTTGAAGAATCAGACATTAGTACCAGCATGGAAACTAAGCAATGCAACGCTGTGGCTAGAGGCAGCAACAAAATGTATTTTAGCCACCTAAAAAAAGGACGTGATTTTGTCTTTATCAGTTACCACATAACAGTGCCTGGCAAAAAACCCTTTGCATCTTTTTGGGGGAATATACAACCTTTTTTTTCTCCTTTTTTGCTGACTTGCATCTGGGCAAAGGGACAGCACCTGTCCTGTGGACAGTGCTGCAGGAGTGGTGGACTATTGTGAAAGGCAGCTGTAACCCTTTTTGAAGAGAGACAAAAAATTCTTCAGATGCCCGAGAAGGTACATTAGAACACCATGTAAATAAACAGACACATATGCCCCTAGGAATATTTTTCTCATCTTTTAGTTGAGGTGACTTAAAGGCATACTATGCAGTTTTCCAGTTTTGTCAAACAGCTACCCCTAGAGTTGCTGTGGAGTACTTGTATTTAACATTAACTGTCGAAATACCACTCACCAGAGCCGTCTCTACATACGGCTCTTCGTCTCTGCACTCACAGCCTGATCCCCTCCCCCCCGTAAACCGGTACATGTTCGGTAGGATGGAAGCGTCGGACATCGAACAGGCAAAGATAGACTCCGAAGATGTCTACTGACCAGGTAACGTCTGAGTGAATGCCTGCTGGTGTCTTCCATTGAGGCTGCTTCTTATGCCGCTGATGTATATGACGTTGCGCCGTAAAGCAATTTGTGATTCTCGCGAGATGTGGCGGGGCGCCACCTTTCAGACTTGCATTGCTGGTTCTGCCAACGGCGTCCCTCTCCTGCGTTGCTATCGGGATGATTCGCTATACTACGAGTTACTACTACCGCCGAAATGACTTCAAAGCTGTTATATTAAGGTAAAAATCTTGCATTGTGTGCCTTTAAGGAATGGTATTATTCCACATACACTTTAATCAGTAATGTAGAGTATGTTTACCTAATTATAAAACTGGAAACATCAAAATAATGAGCAAATCTGCACTCAATTTCTTTAAGTTCTCCAAATTGATTCATAATTAGATTTGTATAATTCTTTAGCCACAACTTCAAAACATTGAACATTCATAAGAGGATTTTAGATAGTGAGTGGTTAAAGGGGCAAAAAGTACACTGTAGAACATGCAGTACTCCTGTTATTCTAGTATTAAACAGTCATCATAATAAGCAGCATTTGCAGAGTCAATAAAGGGAAGACTACTTGGTCCATGGAGTCAAAAAAGTGCACAGTGAGAAAGTTATGTTAAGCATTTGTATACTTAATCATGTGCAAAATTATTTTCATCCGGAGTCACTTTATTTTTTACTGTTATGTTTACTTTGTGGAACGCCAGTGCCCCGCAAAGACCAAAAACCCAGGCGCGCCCGACGTCTTCAGTAGGCATATTTTCTCCTGTTTCTTCTGCAAGAGTTTAATATTTTGGTTTCTGTGTATGAGACACAGGATGAAGAAATCAACCAAACATCTGATTGGTCAGTTGACTATGAGGAAAGACAAGCACTGGAGATTGATGATGTACTCAGTCCACCAGCTAAGTAGCCTCACTGTGAAGAAAACATGACACCATATTCATGGATAAAGTGAGCAATTTTAAATACATTTTAGCTTTGACTGTATCACCTTTAACCTTTATTTGCTCTTTAAACTTACTATTACTTTTACTTTAAACACACATTCGGTGTTTAGTCAGTTTCAGGCTGCAGGGTATTTTTGCCTGGTGAGACTTTCCACTGCATTCACCACAGTGATTTCCTGCATTGATTTCCTGACAGGCCTTTGCTGCCATCTGTTGGTTCAATAAGTACAGTACTTCTGAACAGACCTATAGTAGAGTGTGTGTTGGTTTCATACCCGTGAGCAGCCAGGAACTGAGTCAGTCAATTAGGGTTAGAACTTAAAATGATGATGTTATTGTTGTAGTTATCAGTTTCATTATATCACAGTGTGGATATCTTTATTTACAAAAAATCCATGAAATGTGAATATTTGAAAGAGAACAGAACAATAATAAGTTCAGTTTGTTAATCTTCAGCTTAAAAGAACAATGTGTAACTAACAAATGAGCTTAGTGTTTATCAGAAATAGACCAACCATTTTTGCAGTAAATTTAATGACATCACAAAGAAAATGGAGAATGCTGGCTTACATGGAGAAATACAAAGATTAGCCAACATTTGGTTTGTTTGGAAGCACTGTTGCCTACTGTGGAAACCATGATTAAGTGAGAATGGACATTGCTCAAAAGAGACAGAGAGCTTTCGTTGCTAAAAAAAAGGTGGAGACAATTTGAGAGTAAAAAAACAAACATTCTTTTTTATGGTCGTGTCCTGTTGCTCGTAGTATGCGCTGAGCGACAAAAATGTCAGCACTTTGGTGACTGCTATGGAATGCAGCAGGCTATAACAGTTCTACGTGTGTAATTCTAGTGTATGAGTGTTCATCTATATGCACAAAAGTGATCAAATTATGGTGCGTAAAAACAATGAAATCACCACAATGTTGACATCTCCAACATAATTATCATATTATTGAAATTGAAATTAAAATCTTGAAATTTGATCATGTAAAGTGTTAAAGAAGTACCTTGAAGGTAGACGTACGTATTTGTTACAGGACCAGATAATTAAGACATAAATAACAATGAGAATCAACATACTTAATGCCGTAGCCAACCATTTCATTCAAATTTGTGGATTTTTGCTGATAAAGCTTGAGCAGCTGTGTAGTATATTAGTTCTTATACAAATATGATGATAGCACTTCCAATAAGGGACACAATTATGAGTGATTTCTGGATAGTCAATTATTCCAGTCTGAATCTCTCAGAGGACACAATAAAATGAGAAATATCAGCCAGACAACAATTTAAGGGTGAAAATAAATAATTTATTTTGATAGCATATTTCACATCATATTATATGATTAGAAACATCTGATCTGCCAGTGTGTTTTACTCTGCTGCTTCTTTTCCCTGAAAAAAAAAACAAAATTGAGTTTCATCCGGTTAATTTCAATCAACTTTCACTCATAATAACTTTCTTTCAGATTAGATTTGAATCTGAATTTGATTTGTTTTTGACTAAACTGAATTTCATATTTACCTTGCCAGAGTCACGGCTCTTTGCTCTCAGTTTGTTGACCTGGGACTCTGCAATGTCAGCACGCTCCTCAGCCTCCTCCAGTTCATTCTGGACCTTTCTGCACTTGGACAGGTGAACGTTGGCTTGCTCCTCCTGAAAAAACATAGTTATAGACATTTTAATATACAATGAGAGTGGTTTTATTCACTATAAGGTGTACTACATAAATATGACCATACTGTCAATCACAAACATTTAATGGCTTGCTTGCTTCAAATGATATAGTTATTGTAATTTATAACTGATTGTCATTTTTCGGTCATTTTTCTAAATTATATTTAAATGTAACAGTTTAGCAGTGCAAAAACCAAACTACCAATATCATAAATGTGTATTTTGTGATGTGTGTTTACTTTTCCTATTTTTTAATTTAATAAATGAATCTGTGGAAAGCGTTTGTTTGTTTGCACAAGATAATTCTGACATATTATTATTACCTATCAGTATTTAAAATGAATGTGTTGTCCTTACCGCTTCCTCAGCCTGCCTCTTGTAGGCCTTCACTTTGAGCTGCAGTTTGTCAACCAGATCCTGCAGCCTGGCAACATTTTTCTTGTCCTCTTCAGTCTGGGAAATAAAGTAAATTGGAATTTTTAAATGTTTTAAATAATACATGTGTTAGATTGATTTGTAGGCTACATGTTAAATGTCAAAGTGACTGTACCTGATAGGTGAGCTCCTTCACCCTCCTCTCATATTTGCGGACACCCTTAACAGCATCTGCTCCACGTCTCTGCTCAGCCTCAACCTCTGTCTCCAGCTCACGCACCTTTAGAAACCCAGAAAGTGAAGATAATGTTTAGATATAATATAATATTTATTTGACATGTTCTCTTAGATTTGTTTGACTGTGCCGATCTTAACAGAATTGTCTTACCCTAGACTCAAGTTTCTGGAGCTGCTTCTTGCCACCCTTCATGGCCAGGTTCTCAGCCTCATCCAGGCGGTGCTGGAGGTCCTTAACGGCAACCTCCAGGTTCTTCTTCATCCTCTCCAGGTGAGCACTAGTATCCTGCTCCTTCTTCAGCTCCTCAGCCATCATGGCAGCCTAGAGGAGACAGCATATTAGAAATATAATATTAGAAATATTTTGAGGAAAAAAACACATTTTACTTGCAGTACAAATGTTAAAGTCAAACGTACATCAGTGATGGCCTTCTTGGCCTTCTCCTCTGCATTCCTTGCTTCCTGAACAGTGTCATCCACTTCACTCTGGACCTGGATCAGGTCAGACTCAAGCTTCTTCTTGCTGTTCATAAGGCTTGTGTTCTAAAAGATAAAAAGATCACTTAAGTCATCACATGCTTCATTTTCACATTATTTGCAAAACTCATTCGATTTCTGAATGACTGAAGAAATGATAGTGCTTGTTTACCTGAGAGTGCAGCAGTCCAACACGCTCACTGGCGTCCACCAGCTCCTGCTCGGCGATTTTGCGGCTTCTCTCTGTCTGTTCCAGAGCAGCTCTAAGTTCCTCAATTTCAGCCACCATGAGACCGTTCCTGCGGTCTACCATAGCAGCTTGTTCCTTGAAGTCCTCCTGGGCTCTGACAGCATCATCAAGGTGCAGTTGTGCATCCTGGTGAAGAAATATCAGCAAAATATTCACATGACAGCCAAAATGTAGGTGCACTGACCATAGTCTGTGAAACAACTTTATGTCTTACAATACCTTCAGCTGTGCTTGCACATTCCTCAGCTGCTTCTGGGACTCAGAAGCCTGACGATTGGCATGGCTCAACTGAATCTCCATCTCATTTAGGTCTCCCTCCATCTTCTTCTTGATTCTCAGGGCATCGTTCCTGCTCCTGACCTCAGAATCCAGAGTGCTCTGCATGGAGTCAGTAACCCTCTGGCTGTTCCTCTTGATCTGCTCCATCTCCTCATCCTTCTCAGCCAGCTTCCTGTCTACTTCACCCTTAATCTGGTTGAGCTCCAATTGGACACGCAGGATCTTAGACTCTTCGTGTTCCAGAGTTCCCTAATGATGTCAAAGAAAACAACATTCATCTTTGCTTTCTAACCTTTTGTAAAACATTTGTCTATGAATTTTCAGAAGACCTCCCCAGAAAAAAATTTACCTCAGCTTCTTCAAGAGCTGTCTGGATCTCAGACTTCTCTGTCTCCACCTGCTTCTTGGCCTTCTCCAGCTCATGGATGCTCTTGCCAGTCTCACCAATCTGTTCAGTCAGATCTGAGATCTCCTCTGCAGAGAGATGTGTTGTGTTACAAGATGTGTTTTATATGATTAAGTCTTAAAATTTAAAACATAAATACTTTACTCTAACTTAATGTAGTAATAATAATGTGGTCAGAACTCACGTTGGAGGTTCTTGTTTTCACGCTTCATGGTCTCCAGCTGATCCAGAGCCTCCTCATAAGAGTTCTTCATCTTGAAGAGCTCAGTGCCAAGAGAACGAGTTTCCTTCTGAGCTCCCTCAAGCTCTGCCTGACCCTCCTCATACTTCTGTTTCCACTCTGCCAAGACCTAAATTACACAATTAATAGAGTTCAGTTAGAGCAACATGAGGACAAATAAAGATATGCATTTCATTGTTTGTACTGCTTAGCCACATAAACGTTGCTACCTTGTCAAAGTTCCTCTGTTTCTTGTCCAAGTTGGCAGCCAGCCCATTGGCTCTCTCCACATCAATCATGAGGTCTTCAACCTCACTCTGGAGCCTCTGCTTGGTTTTCTCAAGAGAAGCACACTTGGAATTCACTGCCTCAATCTGTTCCTCAGCCTCCTGAAGGCGCTGGGCCAGCTTTTTCCTGGTTAACAAAGGTGTGATTTTGTCACTCACTGAAATCTATAGTTACCTGAAGCCTTTGTAACAAGACCCACGTTTTGTAACAGTTACCTGAAACCACATATGAAATACAAATACTGTATTTATTCGATCATAAGATAATACTTTTGGATATGTCACTTTGGAAGGTGGGGCTCATATTTTATTTGAGAACCAGATGTTTATGTTTTCACAACAGGAGATATTTTTAATGGAGAATATTGATGTAACACCCGTTATGTCAGGCTTCCACAGAGAGTGTTGCATTGTGCATCTTTTTAGGTGCATTTATATTGTGTCTGTTGGAGTTAAATATCCCAAGAAGTGTTTAGCTTGCCCAGTTAGGAGTTACTGACTGCACATCTACATTGTTTTGCTAACCAGGTTCCTAACCAGTGAATATTAGTCTAAAGCATCTCTTGACATTTTGGCTGTGGAAACGAATCAGAGACTAGAGCTATCTGAATTGTTTGCCCCAAAATAATATACCAAACAAATGTCAAATTGTAGTGCTTGAATACATTTGTTTAAATGTAAGTATTGATATAAGCAATACCAATTCATGTCAATTGAGCTATACTATAGCATTACACTTATGTCCATTTAATTGTTAAAAATGTACTCACTTGGATTCCTCAAGCTCCTCAGTGCGCTGGATAGCATCAGTTTCATACTTAGTTCTCCACTGAGCCACCTCACTGTTGGCCTTGGACATTCCACGCTGCAGCTCAGCCTTGGCCTCCTGCTCCTCCTCAAACTGCTCCCTCAGCAGATCACAGTCGTGGCGGGCTGATTGCAGTCCATGGGCAAGAGCATTCTTGGCCTGGTGTGAGAATTAATATTCAGTGTGCAAAATGTCTAGCTAACACATAAAGTTCATTAGTACTGACCTAAAGTTTTCTTACCTTAACCTCCTCTTCAATCTGTCTCTTTAGCTCCTCAATCTGCTGTGTGAAGGCCTGTTTGCCTCTGGTCAGCTGGGAGACAAGAGCTTCTTTCTCTTCAATTTGACGGCTGAACTCACCTTGTGTGAAAGATGTCATAATACTTTATTAGTTTGTGTCACAGTTCTCAATAATAAACAACAGATTATTCACTGATAACTTGTAGATACCATTTTCTGTCAGGAGACGTGCTTTCTGTGCACCCGTGTCATTGATTTGACGGACATTTTCATCATTCTTGGTCTTCAGTTCACTCAGTTGGTCCTCAAGAGTACGGCACATCTTTTCAAGATTTCCCTAATAAGGAAAAAAGACATCAGATCAGGGATCAGATTGTATGTAAAATATACATTTTCTCATTTACTACATTAATTTGTGTGTTAAAATACTATTTAATGTATAATGTACCTTTGCTTTAGCAACAGCCTCCATGTTGCTGGAGAGGTCATCAATCTCCATCTTGTATTCACTCTTTTCCTTCTCAAGCTTCTGCTTGACACGCTGGAGGTTGTCGATCTGCTCTCCCAGCTCAGCAACGCTGTCAGCCTGCTTCTTGCGGAGAGCAGCAGCAGTGGCTTCATGCTGCAGAGTGGACTCCTCAAGGTCACGACGGAGCTTCTGGAACTCAGCTTCACGCTTCTTGTTCATCTCAATCTGAGCGGCAGTGGCTCCACCAGCCTCCTCCAGCCTCTCACTGATCTCCTCAAGTTCCCTGGAGAGGTCAGCTCTCTGCTTCTCAACCTTGGCGCGAGCAGCACGCTCAGCTTCAATCTCCTCCTCCAGCTCCTCAATACGGGCCTGTTGAATGTAGGTGTGTTGTCTTTAGTAAACTCTTTCTTGTAATACACAAAATTGGAAATGTATGCAGTAATCTGTTACATAATACAATGTGTCACCTGAAGCTCCTTGATCTTCTTCTGAAGCTGAGCACCCAAGGACTGCTCATCCTCAATCTTGCTGAGGAGCTGACTGATTTCAAAGTCCTTCCTGTGAGAATAATAGATTTGGTAAATAGTAAGAGTTCATAATGTTGAACATAATTTTAAAGAGAATGGCTGTTGTACAAATTCAAAGTCAGTGTTACTTTTTAATTTTCTCATCAGATTGCTGCTTGTCATTCTCAAGATCCATGATGGATTCCTGGGCCAGTTTCAGATCACCCTCCAGCTTCCTCTTGGCTCTCTCCAGGTCCATACGCAGCTTTTTCTCTTGTTCCAGAGAGCCCTCAAGCTGAACATTAAAATTAGTATTTTATTGTCACATTCAAGAGGAATCTTGTTTTGCTAATACTAGTGACTTTGCAACTTACATCATCCACTTGCTGCTCAAGCTTGGTCTTGGCCTTGGTCAGAGTGTTGACTTTGTCTTCCTCAGCCTGCAGGTCATCAAGAGTCTGCTGATGAGCCTCCTGAAGGGCTTTCTTTTCCTTGGTCAGCTTAGCAAGGCTCTCATCCTGAGAAGCCATCTCCTCAGTCAGGTTCTTCACCTACATTTGCAAGAAACATGTTATTACATGCCAATCTATGAATGTTACTTTATCTGCTAAATATTAATAATTGCAAACCTTGTTCTCTGTGGCATGTTTTTCTTTCTCCACTTTAGCCAAGGTAAGCTCCAGGTCATCAATATCCTTCTTGAGCTCAGAGCATTCATCCTCCAGCTTTCTCTTCTTGGCAGTGAGCTCAGCATTGATTTCCTCTTCATCCTCCAGTCTCTCAGTGGTCTCTTTGAGTTTGGCTTCCAGCTGAATCTTACTCTTGATAAGTCCCTCACATCTTTCCTCAGCATCTGACAGATTCTCTCCTTCCTAGTTGGTTTATGAAAATAGACGTTAGCACATCAACACTGAAAAACATAAAAAGCAGCTGTTGAGGTGTACTTACAGATGCTACTTGGAGCTGCAGATCATTCTTCTCCTGCTGAAGGGACACCATCTTCTCCTCCAGTTCCTTCTTCTTGGCCAGGGCAGTAGCCAAGTCTGTTTGCATCTTCCCGTAGTTTTCCTTCATCTGAGCCAGTTCCTTCTCAGTTTCAGCACTCTGCAGCAGAGGCTTAATCTTGTAGTACACCTTCATCCATGGCCAGTGTTTCACATTCATGAATGAGCGGACATTGTACTGGATGGTATAGATGGCATCCCTGTGGACAAGAAGTTGCTGTTTTAGACAGAGTAATTCTTCATTATTTATACTATGACTGTGCACTCAGAATTAGCTGTTTTTAACATGCCTCCTCTCAGTCATCTGCACAAACTCCCTTCTCAT